TCAAAGTGCAAGCTGCAGTGTGCTTTTTCTGAAATCCTTTCTTTTTTTCCTGGGGAAACGCAAAAAGGGGCGAAGGGGGGGGGGGGGGGGGGGGTCCCCTTACGACGGATCCGCGAGCCGTACTTGGACCAGCAAAGAGCCGCATGCGGCTCGCGAGCCGCGGTTTGGCCACCCCTGGTCTATAACATAAAACTGCTACACACAAAAGCGAAACTCAACTGAAATAATTTCTTTGCACGGGTCTATTTAGCCGATACAAAGTAGGAAACACCAATATGTAAGGTAAAACAAATCACCAGGCTCGATCTAAAATGGATAGTAAAAATCGACGCCTGCACCTAGCAATCTATACTTTTCGTCAAAAGTGTATTTTTAAGGTCGTCTCTTTTTTTTCTTTTTTTGTGAAACTACAAAGCGTAGCTCTTTCTCTGTAAAAGATAGGGCCAAAAACGTTACAACGTTGCCAGGGTCTACGTCGGGTGGCGACGCAGTCGACCAAGTTGAGCAGCGGGCAGTGTTTGGCGTTCGTATTGATAGATGGTGTCGGGAGCAACGTCCGAAGGCGCAGCCGACCAGCTAAAGAAAGCAGACGACACGCAGGCAAAATTTGTTGGCAACAAAAGCGCCGCCTTATGTAGACGCGTTTTTTTTTTTAAGCTTTTATTACTGCTTTTATCGTCCGCATTTATTTTTTACCCAAAGATATTAAAAAAAAGTATCATATTTATTTTAATGAACCACGGTGGTCGCTTGCCGTCGCGGTAAGGAGGTAGCCCCATCTATCGATACGAACGCCAAACACACCCTGCTACTGGACTTCGTCGTCTGCGTCAGCGTCCGCCGTAGACCCCGGCAAGTCTATTGGCTTTATGTTTTACAGAAAGAGAGCTACGGTTTGTAATTTTAGAAGAAAAAGCCGACCTCTCAAATACACGTTCGACGAAAAGTTTAGATTGCTACGTGTAGGCGTCGATTTTTAAGCTCCATTTAGATCGAGCCTGGTGACTTGGGTCTTCCTATATTTAGGGCAATCAACCGTCAACTGCAAAAGTTTCAATATTTTAAAGTGTTCTAATGCATTTTTATATGAATATTTGAAAGACGTTACGTACTGACCTGAACCGTATTGCTCACGCGCCCACACCACTACACGATTGGATATTAATGGAACTAAATCGTGAAACCTATGAAGTGTCTAATTAACTTAGAGGAGAAACAGTAATCTCACCATCAGCAGCCGCGGAAGGTTGTATGATTATAAGAGAGGCGCCCAGAAAAAATGTGAAATAGATCATCTTGATTGGCTTGGATATATCTGTTCGTTCTGAGTTACTGCTCTGTTATTACCCTCATATATACACCAGGTTTCCTATGTAGTAGTCACGTGATTTTGTTTTTCAAAAACGTTTCGTATGTAAGTGTGGCTCCCTTCGAAACACCTGTTCGAATGACGATGGTTTTCACAAAAGCGGAGCATGTATCCCCGTATTCTGCGAAAACACTCCATACTTTGTTTTTCCTCCAACCTTCTCAAACGAGTTTATGTGTAATCGTACATTGACAAGGCTGAAGCTGCGTTTACGTATCCGTATAATGGGGTCGGGTCTATCTAAGCCTGTCTGTCTTGTCTGTTTGTCTTCAGTGTCCCTCTTTCCTTGTCGTAAAATGTCTCCAATTCGTTCGTACTTCATGCAAAACGCCATTCTCTAATGATTTCGCTGCCTTTCCACCGCAGCCCACTACCCGCATTCATTTTTTCCATGCATGTGCCTGTTTGACTGGGAGCATCTGTTGGGACGCCATAATTGCAACTGCGTATATTCGAGGACAATTTTTTTATGAAGGTTCTGAAATCAACAGCGCACGTACGTATGTTTTGAAAGCAGGAAATGTATGCAAGCGACCGCACGTGTCTTCGCTCACAAGGACGCCATTACTTTGTTTTTTATTTACAGAAAAAAAAGCCTGTATGGCCGTGAGACATTATTGCGGGGGGTGGGTTACATACGACTATTTTTTAAGCCACAAGTAATGTACACACAAAAAAAGCACTTTCCTATGGAGCAAAAATAAATCGAAATAGAACTTACTGCCTAAAAAACATTACACAATGGAAGCATTAAAAAAAATTTTGTCGCAAGCCCATCTTTCGGCAACCCATTCTATTCTTCGATGGTTTTCGGAAAGAACGAAAAAGCAAAGGTGTCGGTGCGGCAAGAGTGAGGTATGATTTTCTTGGGGCGATCTGCACTTTCGGGCACATAAAACGGTTCAACTAAAAAGGTATCTTTGTTACCTAATAGTCCATTGTTGTAAATATCATCTAAAAATTTTAACCTAAACATCTTTCTACGCTCACTGAGTTTTTTCCCAATGTAGGGCCTTTTTCGTGATAGTGACCAGTCGCTCCAAGTACCTTCAAAATAACTACACGTGTACAGGCACAACTTGCGAGCTCGCTTGATCTAACTTTCTTTTGTCATTTACTCTGCACACTTCTTGCACTCCCTTGGCTGTTTTCTTGGCACAGTTTCTTATACCACTTTTGTATTTTGTGGTGTTCGTTATAGCATACGCTGTGACTTTTTCTAACATTACGAATGTCTTACGGTAAAAGCTTCTCTTACACAGGTTAGAAAGGAGAGGATCTATGTGTTTCTTGAAAAAGCTTTTAAAGAGGCTTGTTGATTTGTTTGGTTGCGTCTCCTTAACCACCATGCGCGTTTTTTAGGAGAGTGAAAACACTGAATGGGAGCCCTTTCCCGGTATCGTCAAGCTGGGTTTCACTGGGGTTTTCGAGTACAGACTGCGAGGATGGAGCATTATAATTGGTAATTGACTATTGTCTGAACACTTTATGCATGACCGTGCTTTTTAACTCAAAACAAATTGTAAAAGTTTCCAGTCCTTTTATTATAATCTTTATTGTAACGCACTTGGCTCCTCATATTCAATGTAACATAAACAAATATTTGAACCATTGATTTTCTTAATCAGGCTTTTCATGGCCAGGAAAGCCGACCAGAGGCAAGCTACAACCAAACTTGAAAGTTCTTGGCGAGAGTTTGGGTATTTTGGTCCCGAATGGCTGACAAGTGCCAGAGTGAGACTTCGCTGTCTGGTTGTTCGGTTATCGCCTGGCTTCTTTAGACCTCACTCTAAAAAAAGGTGTCGTCTTACACTCTTTTTTTTCATATAATGCACCCCATGCTTTAGTTTGATTCACAGCGCACTGATGCAAAACAGACGGCTCGAACTTTTAGGAGGGGCTTGATAACGGTGTGATATATCTCATTAAACAGTTGAAGTATGTGTCAAAAGCTACACAATAAAAAAACACTGAAGGTTTGCAGCAGGGACAAGTAAAACTACGATTCCTTTTTTTTTAGTCAGTAGAACGTACATTAGCTGTTTTAATAAGTTGTACCACTCGGCTATCAAGCCGCTCGTGAAAGTTGGTACCGTCGGTTTGACGTCAGCACGTTGACCGTCGAACTGAAGTTTTGGGGTGATTGATATGGGGCAAAAGGTGTAAGAATATACCTTTTTTTGAGAATGCTGAGTTCTCAAGAGGTTGACGGAAGTAGGCTTCACGTCTGGTTGGTAGGTTCTCACCTGGTAACTTTAAACCTAAACTGCCGAACAGCTTGCTTGATGCGTGGCATTTTCGGGTCCTGCCTGGTACCTTGGCAAGCTAAGAAAAAAAGTTAAAGAAAGGTTCATCGACACTAACTTTGATGCCTTGAACCAAAGCCTTATAGGCCCAAGTTAGGCCCCTAGGATTGCCATGCTTGGTTAAAGATAGATACTTCTCTGGCATGCTGCCTGTAAACCTTATGTCAATCTAGACGTCCGTGAACATGTTGTGCGTTAAGAACAAGGACCCCAACCTTTGTGTATGCAAGGGTATATGTTTATTTTCATCTCATTGATGTGTTAACAAGTCGCAAAACTTTGGTCCCTTCATGTCCTGGAGCCTGGCGGTTTTTCTTTTTCCTTACGGACCTGGTGAGGATAGAAAAGGCGAAGGTCTTAGTATTATTTAAATACATTATGTATTGCAATTTCGTTCTTGTGCGTGTCCGATAAGGTTTTCTAATAAACATAAATTCACTGTAACGTACACCAATATCACGATAAAATAGAGCATGCGTGTTGTGTAATATAACGTTTGCTGACGGGAATTGTCGGCATGAACATGCTTGACTCCAAAGTTTTAAAGCTCCCTAAACGAAACTCAAAGCTATAAGCTTGTATATAAATTACGCCCTGAATTGAAACACTCCCGTTTGAGACAACATATCATCAGTCCCATTACAAGGACTTCACGACGCTTTACTAATGTAAGTCCTTGATGTTAAGCCGTGCAACTGTGTGGTAACTGACTTCGACGCGGTGTAGAAATAAGAAAAAACGAGGACTAACACACTAGAAGATATGGAGAGCTTAGATATGCGGTACCTTAACCCAACATCAATATTTATTCGGGTTTGATAATCACTCCTTTAATGTTTTAGGCTGGAAACTTGCTACTCCTATAATAAATGAAAAAATCTAATAATATAACTAGAATCATCTATTATATTTACGAGCGCTGTACATATTTCGTAGTCAAAAAGACAGATTATTTTGAGAGGCACATTCTGAGCACGTGCAGGGTTAAAACAAAAATTTTCATCCTTTGTGTCTAAGTCCTTCCAGTAGTGTTGATTTCTGCAGTTTTAATGCCGGCTTATATTTTCTGTCATTTACGAACATAAACCAGCATTTGCAGCTATATTTTATCCACAAATCTTTAAATGTTTCTGACGAAATACGGTATTCTGCTGTGCAGCTCTTTTGACTTGTGGGTAGGTGGAACTAAAGCTTGTAATGCGCACTTTTTAGATGTCTAACAGTTCAAAAGGATGTAGGCTTTGAAGAATTTCATACAAAGATTCAAAATATATTACACATTGATCCGACAAGCAGCCTGATGGAGGCGACAAGAGGAAGGAACAGGAAGCCCTGTCTTGTGAGGGTGGTGGTAAGGAAATTAACAAAAGTGCACGTTATCTGGTTTCCCATGCCGCCAATGCTTGACCCTGTGGCTGCTTGAACCAAGCACTGCAGGGAATAAAAACAAAATATTTGCTTAAATCGCACTTCTTAGTAGATCTATTCATTAATTAGAATCAAGAACGAACTCAGGGATGGGACCAAGTCAATTAGTTGCGTTTGTGGTACCATAACTACTTTGCACTAAAGCCTCAACAGAAACAACACAACAATGAGGGATAATGTCAAAATGTTCTCTTAGCTATTCCTTGACAAAGTGTAGTTTGTTGGCAAAGGCACGAACTACAATGCATTTTTTTAAGTTAATGGAGATCTGTCTAATAATAAAAATAAAAAAACAATAATGGCTAGCATTATTCAATTCATTTTATGTCATGATGCTATCATTTCTGCCCCTTATATTAATCAAAGTGGCAATGCAGGCGAGTTGGTTCATCGTTACAAAATGGAATCAGCGCGCAAACAACGAAGACACAAGGAAGAGAAATTGACAGGACAAGCGCTGGTCCAGCGCTTGTCCTGTCAATTTCTCTTCCTTGTGTCTTCGTTGTTTGCGCGCTGATTCCATTTTGTAACCCTTATATTAGCCTGACAGCCTGCTTATATCGCTTCATGACTGACTTCTGTCTAAAACACGGCTGGAATATCTCGCTATGTGCCTTATTGCAATTCTGTTTTATAATAGTCCCTGTCGCTGACCAGAACACGTTGTACTACAACTCCGGGAACTTATCATGAGTTAATATTTTATAACTTGTGCAGCACGCTTTATCGTACGTAGAATTTAAGTGTCCAGATTAATTGATGTTGATACTTCGTTTTATTTATTTTACGCGTGTTAAGAAAGATGGAAGATCTGCAAACGTTTGCACCGCATTTGAGGCTGCTGCTGGAGGATAAGTAATTTTGTTAAGAAAATCCCCGTTCTTTTTGGTGTTTAAGCCAGACACGGACCTATTATATCAGCCAACTACTGAGCTCAAGTAGAATCAAAGACAGCAGCATTTCAGTTGATACTGTGTTAAGCTATTAGTCTCAACATAATCCACGTTGAAGATGCTAAACAGAATATTGTATCATGCAATATTCAACATGTTTATTGTTCCAAGTTGGAAACAGTTTGCATCCATTCATCATGTCGACATATAAAAGACAAACTCGACATGCGCATTTATTTTTAAAGACACAAATTATCATAGCCACTTTAACGTTTCAGTAAATATGGTGCAAATACTTACCAAAACAGCTGCGAGGTCGCTCTGAACCATGCTGGGCTATTTATCGTAAAAAGAAAGAAATATCGATTAAAACCATTCTGAAATTAGGATCTTTTTATGCAGAAAGTTGTGATTTAGCTCTACAATCTTACCGTAGCGGCTGATCCTGGGGTGCAGGCGGTAAGTACGGTGTTAGCGCACTGAAACGAACGTAGAAACACATGGTATAATGACGTCCTAAAACTATTATGAAAAATAAAAATCCAGTGTATTCACATGACCTTGACTATTTAAAACAATCAACTTCTGGTGAACGGGACCCACTTGAGATGTTCAAGAAAGACAATTTTGAAAGGTTGCTTTGAATCTGGAAGCCAACATAACGCAGATCAACAGAACTCTAAAATATTACAGAACCAAAAAAGGGCCTTAGTAGCCAAATTCCATCAATAAGACCTTGATAAAAACAGTATGCGTCAAGGAAGATGTGAAAGAGAGTTTAGTGTTCATTAGTTTAGTGTCCAGGCGCTACCACTATAGCACCTGGAACGCGTCTCAAGCCGATGTAGTTACCGCGCCCAAAAAAGTGGTCCCTCGATTTCCGCCTGATGACATCATAGAAGTGCCAAGCTATCGCTGGCCGTGATCATGGTGGCGTCGCAGCACCGATGGTGGATGCTCAGATAAAGGGTCTCCTGCAGGTTCCTCTTCAGCTTGTTTGTCCGCGGATGATTCGGCAGCCAATAGTTTTGACGCTGCGACGACAGCGACGTTCGCTCCTGCTTTTCGTCGGCATTTCTTCGACGTTCCGCCAGAATCGCCATAACTGACAGCATAACACTCCGACTCTTGTGAAGTCAGTCGTTGCTACTTTGGGACCAATTTTGATACATGGGCAGAATAAGGCGCTAAACACACAAGTCACAGACGCGTTCATCGCACTGTACTACAGCTACGACTCCTTCTAGAGATGTATTTTAAACAACAAAATATACAATCGCCCGGTGCCAGTAATACATGTAATTTTAAAATTCTAGAGAGTTTAGCATCTACAAATAAAAACGTGCTTTAGATGGGATCGTAGTTCAATTAGCTTACAACTTACTGTAACTGCAACTCTTGGGACCTTTAGGCTTCATGTATGAATGTAATTGCCCGTGTCAGACCTTAGAGTTTTAATATATCATTTTCCAGAAAATATTCCGTAGTCGGGCTTATGCAATTGGAAAATTAAATAACAAATTAAACGAAAATTCATCATACTAGTTATGTGTAGGAATGCAAACGCATTCCTACAAGCTGCGCGCCACGTCTTCTTGTTTCACCCGGCGCTCCAAGGTGACGTCATGCTCCCCCACTGCGCAGGCGCGCCGCCCCCACCGGCTCCACGGCTTCCGTGACGATGTATCCGCGTTACTCTGCTTTTCTTTGTGTTTTATTTCTGAGGCACGTCCGCTTTGACCTCGAGAGCCTCGCCGGTTTCCGGGAAGAAGCATCTGCGTTGCTGTACTTTTAACCAATGGGAATTCACATTCCTTTTTGCTCAGCCAATGGGAATTTAGGTGCCATTTTTCGCTGCTTCAGACATTAAAACTGAGCTTTACAAAGACTGCGAATACACATTTAACTCTGTTACAAAACCGTTTAACTTAAGAAAATACTTATTCCGGTGAGTTAAAGCTTTGCATTTAGATATTTAGGTCGTGCATTCAAGCTTATCTACTAAAAACGCAAAATGACAGACAAAACGTTGCAAGCAAGCTGTTTGTGTCTTCTATATGTCCCGTTTTTTTTTTTACTTTTGAATTCCTTCAGGATCATGATGCCGGCTCTCATAATTTAGCGTCATGTTCTTACCTGTGAGGCGTTTAGAACTCCGGGAAGAGTCAGAGTGATTTGACCATTGCAGAGGGTGTCGCTCCCGAGAGATATGTTGGTGCATCTCAGGGCGTTGGCGAGTGATGCCGAAATGTCGAAAGATCCTCCTCCGGTAGACCCTCCAGCAGAGCCTCCCGTGCCTCCGACGGTGTTGTTCAGTGCAGTGCACCCACGGAAAAGGATATCGGTAAGAGAGCCTTGAAAAGATTCGTCATATTTTAATTAAAATGGGAAGCAAAAATAAGAAACAATCTTCATTAGAATATAGTCATACTCGGGGGGAATGCAGTACACAACACGCAATATATTAGTTACCCGTATAAGTTTCTAAAATCAATCACAGATGTTTATCTCTCCCCCACAGGAATGCACCAACCCACATAATATGACGTCTGAAGAAATGGAGCTGCATGGCCTATTACGTTCACACTTTTTTCCTTCTAATTTGTTTTTCGGCTTTTTTTAGCGTTTTTCGGCGTTTTCGGCGTTTTCGGCTTTTTTGTCGTTTTTGGTAGTGGCCTAGACCCCGCTCTGCGTTTCTTAAATGACCAGTAATTATAGGTACCAAAAGCTTTGTCCGCTATAATCTAATAACTGTAATAAATAATAAATTAATATGAGTTGTGACGTTCAAGTTATAAAGTGTGATGCATTTTGGTACCAGAAAACAGCTAAGTCGATTATAAAGTAATTTACGGCACAAATGTTCTAATGGAAGTACAATTGCTTGAAAGACCTTGGTTTTTCAGCAAGATGAAAATTTACTCAACGTTTGAATTCATCCTCTGCTTTGGGACAAATTTGACAAAACCCTCTTTGTTACAACATCGTTTCAATGTCGTCATCCCCTTGCTTCGTTTCTTTTTGTTTTATAGTTCTGCCGATATAGCAAACTCTTAAAAATCCTGTGAGTTCAATATCATCCAGACCACAAGGACGGTCCAGGCGAAAAATATAAGGGTTCTGACGAACGACGATGCGCGGAAAATATCCTGAAAAATGCCATATGAGCAGGGGCAGTGAGTAAATAAAACATCATGCCAATCGCTTTTTTATTACGAATTAAACTCCGACGTTTTTTATTCGCTGTAACACATTGATGCTCGCCATGGTTGGCTCTCTCCTTGTTCTGAACAAAAGAAAACCTAACATATATATTTTTTTAATATTGAAACTTTACTTTCTTTTGAGATTACACTGAATTGTGAAATGATCCGCGAAACATAGACATATACATTATAATTGGAAATTAAATATACCAATATTTTCTTCCAAAAACTTTTTGTATCTAATGTTGAACTAGTATATTTTTCAGTTTTTGACTAATACGATATAATCTAAAAATGCTAAATTAAAAAAAAAATTTGAAGAAGTGTTATTGTCTTTTTCTTACAGTTCTACCTGATGATAAAAACAAGTCTTGGGTTGATAACTTTTTAGAAATTAAATAATATACAGTTATGACATCAATTTTGAATACAAATATCAACAACGTCCTCTACATTCTTACCAAATCCTGCCCTGTTCAGCAAAAAAGTGGCAATAGGCTGGATGAGCATGAGTTGAGACCCGATAGACAGAGATGAGACGCTGTTAAGCGTGCACTAGATGCAAGGAAACAGAGAGAAAATATACGCAAATGTTATATTCAATATGAACATAGAATATTTATATATGACAATTTGAAGACGATACAAAATGCATTTGCAGAGCTGGGCAGACTTTCGTGTTTGTAATTTGTATTGCAGGTTTTTATGTTATAACATTTCATTGAACTAAATCGCTGTTTACGTAAGCACACACTACAAAAATTGACATTTTATGTGATTATTTTGAAATAAGGTAATCGATAATTGTATTATTCGCCAAAGGTTTTCTCTTTTGGTGTAACACAAGCTTCAATAATTAATACGTGTAAGCTAACATTCCTCAATATTTTATTTTGGGTACCTAATATGTTATTCAACTTTGTTGCATTAGCTTAGTCGTAAAATATACAATAATATTTTAGGGCACATATTTCAACACCTCACAAGGATAAAATATCCCTCAGTAACAATGAACAATGGGACACGTTAGCTGAATTTATGTGAAATTAAACAGCATGCATTCTTTGCTGGCAAGAACTTTTTTCAATATATTGATAACATGTTCAGCTTCAATATATAATTATTTGAGACGGTTTTTCTCCAATGGCATAAGTAGACCTACATACCATCAGAATCTTCTGAACTCCAGTGGCAGTGGCCGCCTGGGGATGAGAGTTAAAATGGGTTAGTCAAGATTGAATTTGAAAGGAAGATATATTGCCTGTCTACTTCTTTCTTTTTATATTATCAAATCTCATTCAAATTATTCCTCAAGAATCAACATTCTGACTCATGATTAGTGGTGACTTCAGTCATACGTGTAACAGCCTTTACTACCTGTCAACTGCCCACCACGTGTAATTTGTAACCCCAACCGTATAAAAACTAAACTGGTCAATGTGATGTATTCAGTTTTCTTAATATAAAATTTTTTATCTCACAGTTAAATCAGCGTAAAATATGTCTGATTCCTTATATCACCAAGAAGTGCTAAACATTGATTTATCGCACCTTTCTTGTTTTAAATAGGAGAATCTATAAAACTTTGGTTGGGTCTAGTTGGTTAACTTTATGTAAGTGATTAAAAAGCGCGAACTGGAAACACGGACGAGATAACAAACACTTACGACAAAAACATGCCTTACTTACAACTAATTTTTTTAAAGGAACATTCACTCAGTCAGTCCGTTGTTCACCATACAGGTAAACAAGCAGATAACATATTGGCAGTCCTATATAAAACCATAAGAAACATTCTCTTATCTAGCAAAAAAAGACAGCAAGCTGAAACACTTCTCACCAGCGTTCTTCATAAGGAAAGCGTCAACGATTTCTCTCTCCCTTTTTTTCCTTCGCGCTTTTTACAAACTCCGTCGAATCTAAATAAGATTCGCAACCGCAATGTTTACAATGCTTCGCAAGATGCCTCCCCTCCCTGCCCCCCCCCCCCCCCCCCCGCTCTCCCCCAAATTGTTACGTACAACGAGCCTGCGCACTCTCGCCATATCGTTAAAACAACGAACGGTCTGTCCGATAAAAAACACAGCCACAACTCAAGGTATCTGCCAGGCACAGAGCCAGTGTATCGTTTTCAACCCATTGCAAACTCTCCAAGATATGTTCGGCCTTGAAGAGAAAGGGGCATATCCCGTGTTCCACCAAACGTATTGCCTTGTGAATGTTTCCGAATGGTGGTCCTCGAGATACCCTTGAGCTGCGAGCGTGTTTATATCGGACAGATGGTAAGTTGTTTTAATGATGGGGGGGGGGGGGGGGGGGAGCACAGTCTCTTAATAAATAACAGTTTGGGGGGGGGGGTGTTCCGCGGAGCATTGTCAGCTTTCCGGTTGCTAACTACTTTTCGTTTTGACGAAGTTAGTAAAAATAGCGATTGAAAAGACGGAAAAAACTCGTTGGAGCTTCCTTTATAGACAACTACACCCGACGTTTTAGAGCGCGGCCATATCGTGCCGACTGGGGCGCCGCCCTTGCGGCGTTTCGCGGTGACTGCGGTTTAGAAGACGGTGCAATAGCGTCCAGATGAATAGTTATTTTACACCCGGTGTTAAAACCGCACACAACGAAAAAACAAACGGCCCGCCCAAAGATAATGTGTAGGCCATGCCAACGCGGCGTACCACAGCGATTTCCGCAGTCCCCCGTGCCGCAAGCACCGTCCGGTGTCGAGAGTGGAGCGCCACTCACATCTGCTAGCGAGGTTGAACAAAAACTGGTCCAAAAGGAACGCGGGTGAAAAGTGTGTGAATTCGCATTCTCTTAATTTGCTGAATTAGGAAACGAGTTATCTATGTGTCTTCATATAACACTGCCGATACGTGATTGGTTTCTGGCTTGTTTATCAGTATGGTGAACGACAGACTAATTGAGTGAATGTTTCTTTAATAAAATAGGTTGTAAGTAGCGCCATCTATGTCAGGCGTGCTTCGTTTGCGTCCGTGTTTCAGTTCGCGCTTTTGAACGCTTTAAATGAAAAAAGCTGTTCGATTCACATTCGGCGAACTGCCATATTGAAACATGCACGTGAGAAATACACGATTGTGACTTCTCTGTTACAATCCACAGTGTCTGCCCAGTTAGCTTAAAACAGCGCATGTTGTTATAGTTAAACAGGCGATCAATTTTAGAAAGGACATTAGTACTCTCAGCTACCGAGCGAAAATCCAGAGTGTAACTAAATTACGGTCATGGCAAACTTTGCCCCGCATTTTCAAAACCTTATTAGCCCTGACATGATGGTTTTTTGACCGAACGTACGTTATTGCTATCCACAGATTACGACAAACTTATCGCAGAACTAAAGAATCGCGGGAATCGCCCCTTCTTTTCATAAAACAAATGCAAACACAATATCATAATATCTAGTAATAGAGACATGAGTAACAAGTTTGATGTCTTGCAAATGTTACTACACGCTGGCCTTTATTTATTTACGCTTTGTGTTTTCGTTCTTATAATTTCAAGGTAACAAGTACCTTCGTATTTTTGCTTTAGTTCATTTAACGCACAAGGCACTTGGTTATGGTCTTTAAAACATTTTAAAAATGCGGAACAAAATAACGATCAGTTATAGTTGGCAAGTGTTTTAGCTGGAACAAAAAAAATATGTGTATTTTCAGAATACGGAAATGACGAAAGAACAAGTAGGAAATCAACACTGGAAAAATAAGCTACTTCTTTTTCCTTTAAACCCTGATATGCTAAAGGTGAACTCATCAGTTCCGACGGAATATAGCGCTCTATCATGCTTTTCTATATTAAAATGATATCCAGTCGACATAAACTCTCATAGAAGTAAACATGAGGTGTAAGGTACGGAGAAATATGCCACATACGTTGCCACCAGCACAAAGATCGCCGGCGTTGCCCAGGCACTGCATGGAAATAAAAGGACAATGTTCATCGTACATATGGAACTTATTTGACAGTGCCTTAACTTAACGTCGTAATACTTTGTAAGGTGTATTCATTTAAAATAAGCTTGACTGTTCCTTAGAGTTGGAATTTGCTGTTATATCTTCGTACAAGAGTTCGAATTAGGTATACCCAGCTTGGTTTGCATCTAAGTTCTCGATCATAGGTGCAAATAGAATTTTAGCAAACGGTAACCTCACATGTTTGTGGGTTAGATAACCCATTGGTGATCAACAGATAAAGCATTTAAACAAGAATTAGGTTAAAATGCGTCGAATTGAAGCAGAAAAAGTCTATGCGTTTGGGGTGATGATTTGAATGTACTTTATTTTTAGAACTTCTTTCCGAAAAGAGGATGATAAATGCGTCATAGAATTGTTTTACTACAGTTCCACTTTAGACGCTTACTAATCCTGAAGCGCAATGTTTTAACTTAATTTCGAGCATCTTTGCCCAAGTTACTTTTTTCTGCTATGGTTCTCCGATTCGATTGTCAGTTGTTTGTAAAGAGCGTTTAGCGGACGTGCTTCTTGCGCCCTCTACAGTAGCGAACGTTTCTTGTTTGAAATGTATTTTCATGTAGAAGATCAGTTTGGGACCAGCTGTTTATAATGTGGGACCGCCGGTTAACTGCCCTAGCCTGACGCACTAAAGCGACTATTTATTTTTAGGTAGAAAATATGTGACAATATGTTTTTGGTGTGCCTCGCTTAGGATATTATTTACAAACGCGGACCATGAGCGCATGAAAGTTTGGGATGTTACATATGTATTGAAGTGGAAGAACCCAAACCAAAAAAGATTTTGAAGGTATGCTCACTATAATATTTGAAATTAAAAGTGTGTTCTCCACAGCACAGTTCTCGTTTAAGACAAAACATGCACTGTGCAAATAAAGCACAAAAAGAACACCACCCAGAAAGTGGAAGATTTAGTGTAAATACCTAACGAGTAAACTTGCATTTTCTACCGACTTACACGACCAATTCCGTTCACATCGAAGAGCGAGATATTGACGCAAGACGCTGCAATAAAAAGACATTCTATTAAGAAACTTGTTCCAGTTTAGTAAGAAAGTATCACTTTGATATGCAAAACTCTTCAAACTGTCTTAATTTTTATCTCGCTGTTTTTGCATGCTGATGTTTCGAATGTTCCGGACGGAAGAACGAATGAATGTTTGAAAGAAAACTATACTCTCAAAATACTTGCGGATAAAGTAATCATAAATCAATCAACCAGTGTTGCTCATAGAATAGTATTTCGCATCATGAAACAATTGTGTACCCATATATGCATTTTGATCACTGAAAGGTTATTAGTAAGATATCCACAGTATACCCTTTTGATTTTCAAAAATAATAAATTGTCGTAGTTGGAAATATTCTTATACACCATTATAAAAAACAAATCTTTGTTGCAAGAATGGTAACGTGCTATAGAGTTATCGCCTTTAACGAAACATTGAATGTTAGAATGAAGGAAATAGTAAACATATGTCAATCATCAAAATCATGTAATACTTCTATTTTAAAATACAATGCCCGTTAAAGGGCCGAATGTTTTGGCAGATAGCCTTTTTTTAAAGACATATTAGAAACAAGTATTTAGCCCCCATAAAAAATTTAAACTTTTGCCGAACTTTTACTTTTAGAAAAGCAAACGACATCAGTTATATTACAACGTCTAAATTAAAATATGGCGAATGTATTGAGCATGTATGTTTAACGTTTAACATGAAATACTCACAAGCAAAGGCTGGAGCTCCATACGCCAAGAGCACAACAATGCCACCAAACAGAGAACTGGTAAATTTCATTGTGGCTGATTATCGATGGAGATAGTCAAGTAAGATAATTTGGTGGACTTCTCGGATACTTATATACATACCTCAGGGGGTGGCAAGGAATGGCGTGGGTTTCACTTTGAACGTCAACACATGGTTTACAGCCTGTCATGTAACCCGAGGCGGATGTTTTTCACACCGAAAAACATCCGCCTCGACACGCAAGATTGTACTACATATTACAATTGTCACTGTCACTTTCGATTTGTCAGTTTTTTTTTTTTTTGTGAACGTACTATATTTTATAATAAGAAAGAGTTTGATTGCTATAATAACCGAACACTTCGTACTGAAGTTTTGATGACTCAAGTACAAGTGAGTTTTGCATAGTGTTGTCTTAAATGTTTACCATTATCACTTGTTGTACAATAAATATATGACGATATGAAAGACAAACTTCTTACATTTCGACACACGTTTTGAAGGGTGTCGAGTTATTCCTGTTTTAGATTCGGTGGCAATATCTAACTTAACAGGCACCTAACTTATTTTGCTGGTGAAATAAATTTTAATAAACATGAAACAACATCGCAAAGTAAAGTCAATTCTTGAGACTCAAAAGTTGAGTGTCAAAATCAGTTGTTTGGATAATATACGCTTAGTTAATTTTGTTTTCTGATTGATTGTCCCCGACATAAACCTAGCAATATCAACTAAACTAGTAGTACGATCTTGTTCATGATGAAAGGAAAGACTGGCTTCTGGCACCTAGCCTTATAGAACCTCGTTATTTCAAATGAACTGCCTAGGTCTAAATCAGTTAATTCAGCAAGACAAGTTTCACTGTAGTCACTGCTGTGTTCAACGTAATTATGTGAAATCTAATTCACATTCAGGAACGGAAGGAAAAATACAACGGAAAAAACCTGAATACTATATTTTGCTGGTATCGATCGCAATGAAGGTTCTCGTTCTTTGAAAAAGAGTTAAATTAAAAGACGTGAATACTTAATCACACATTTCAACTTTTCACTAGGACTGAAGATAGAAGTCCCCACAAAATGTATGTAATAATCTCAGTTGCGTATATTAAGTAGACTGGTTACAATAGATACCTAGGAACATAAGCCATTTGATTTCTCTGAAATACTAAAATGCGTTATGTTAGCCACCATCATTCACGTTGTTTTGTTTCCTCATGTACAAACGCGTCGTCGACTGTCAATGTCAAGTTGCAAACAAAATCCACTATCTTAGTTTTGAATTTTTTTTCCATCCACCGAATGTATAGGGAGCCGAGTTTTGTGATTCTCGCTGACACGGTTCGACGGGGGAGTATAATCTACAGCTTTGCAATAACACGCCATATGGTGAACTTTTTTTATCTATGTGGCTTTGGTAATAATGACACTTCCAGTAGTGCGTAGAACTAGAACGATGTTTGCGAAGCTAAAAAGGGAGTTACAGGTTTTACTTTGCAGCCCATTTTCAGGGAACGCATGCCACCGTATATGTGTAGTTTCCCAACGCGTTCAAACCTAACGTCAAAAGAACGTTTTATTATTCTGGCACAGATATCTTCCGAGTAAACAAGGTCAGTAATAAAACAAAAAGCAACCAGAAATTTTATGACATGAAACGATTAACCTATCATGTACCAAGTCCTAAAACAAGGTTAAAAAAAATACATGCAATCTAAAACAAAAAGCCATGTTTAAGACAAACGTCTCAAGCCTGGTTTAGTTTGTCAACGCCTTTTATAGAATCAGTTTAAATTTGTCACCAAAGCAGTACTTGAACCCTAACACATATATACGCAAGTGTCTACTTTAGAAAAAATATATATCGCTGGCTACGCTCTAAAACGAGCCGGAAAGATTGGCGCCTGCAAATTAATCCTCAAACTTTCATGAAACCAGGGTATAGGTGGTGGCTTTTAGTTACTAAAATTTTAAGC